AAATAAAATTGTCTTTATGTCGGTAAAGTTGTTTGTAGAATCAACTTCTAAGGGGATTAGGAGATAGAAATCTATTGTTGCAACTTATGTCAGAAGCCACGAGTAACAGTTCATATCCGGTTCAATGATTCTACTTAGTATAATTAGCTGTCCTAATTTATAATTATGATTCATAGAAGGGATATAAGGTTAACATAACTTATATTATAAAAAAACAATATTGTCAACTCAAGAGTATGTTATGAGGGATTTTCATTTGTAAATAATAATAAATTATAAAATAAGATTAAATGAACTGAGGGAAAAGTTTAACTGAAAATTCGTAGATGTGAGAAGGGACAGTACGAAGCACCTAGTAATTTGGATGGGAATGAATGAATTCTTTAGAATACCAAAAGCTTCAATAAAAATTTGAATGAATTGGTCAAAACTGGTCAAAAATGAATTTTGACGTTGAAGTTAAACTAATTGCGAATGGATGAATGAAATGGAACTGAGATATTATGGAAAAAACGGTAAATTCAAAAGGCATCCTTGCGCATAGGTAATAGACGTTTAGCCAGTTAGCGAATGAATTTGTAATTTACATTACAAACTATATAACTTGCGTAATAATAATTATATTCTAGAATATAATTATTATAAAATTGTTATATTATAACACTGACTCAAATCGTGAGCGGCAGTATATTTGAGAAATAACATCAAGTACTCAAAACTGCTCACTTTCAAAGAATTCTGTATTCACGATGCTCATCCACTTCGCAATTTCGTTACTAGAGGTTCAGATTGTTTGTTATAACTTCTTTTATGTTCTTAAGACGAGAAGAGAAGACCATCAAATGAAAACTTTTTTTTTCTTCTTCTTCTCGCAAATGGACGAGGAAAAAAAAATTTTGTTCTTCTTCTCCTTATTGATATACTCTCACACACTACTGAATTCCCATTTATATTCACATTGCTAGAACATTGAGCACTTATTCACACTTCAAGCTTTTTTTTCTTTCAGATGGACATTATCAGAAATGGAAGTTAGAAGTCTTGCAGTGTTCCCATCATCTGATGGTAAAGTCAAGGAGAATGGAAAAGTACCACAAGTTCTCAGTAAACGAAGTCCAATATTATAAAAAGTGTTGAGAAAAAAGGAAAAAACAGCGCACCTTATAGGTAGAATGTGATGTGTGCTGCTTGCGGCATCTTTCGCACGACGATTGAGTAGTTTGATCATTTTTTCTAAAATATCGATGTTATCATATCAATAATTAAAGAGAAGGCTTTTGTGAGCACCAAAAATATAGTTTAATTAGGCTCAGAGATGCGCGAGGACTAACTCTACATGTCAAGTTACGACTACCTTTGATGGTTTACGATGTCTACGTAGACAGTATGAAGCTATTATAGTCTTACGCTTACGAAAAATTTCATAATCACGAAGTACTTTGCTTTTCTTTGACCTTATTCAAATAATTTTCGTGAGAATTATATTAGGCTAGGGACTAACAATTACTGGCTAGGGACTTACAATTAATGCAAAATAATATAAACAATGATATGATATCGTATGAATGTTTAGTTCAAGCCCTTATCAATCTCATTCTTAGTACTTTTTCTGATTAAAATAGAAATTTGAGGCAAAGCTCACCTAGAGTAAATAAGCAAAACTTTTATGGAAAAATCCAGTCAGCATTTATTATATTCCGATTAGAACGCAGTGATCTTCATACGTCACGTTCCACCATCTCCATGTAAATGACGAACAAATTTCATTTTTGTCGATATCTGGATGCGGTTGCTCTCGTGCAGTAAGTTCCTCCTGCCGTTACGAAAATAATTTTTTAATTTTATTTTTTTGTTTTTTTTTTGTTTAATTAATGTTCCTTTTATAGGAACTCTATTCATATCTACACAGTATAAGTTACCGTTTCCTGATAAACGATATTATAGATCTCAACTTACTACCGTATAACAGGAGAAAAGGGCAGTTTTTCTGATGATCCTTTATCAGAGAAAATTTTATCAGGTGATTATAAACAAAGTTTTAAAGAATAGGGCTTTTTCACATTCCAGAGTTCTTTATCGTAGAATGAAACAACAAATAAACAGGAGTACGAGGTGGGTTTAGATAGGAATTCTAGTAGCATGGGCAGATCATCGTTTATGAGCAATCATCTGTTAAGATAGGAGGAAAAATTTGATAAAAACTAAAACTGAAAATAGTAAAAGTTTTATCATTAATTATTAAATATGACACAAATATTTATATATTCTGACTCTAAAACAGTTTGATCAGTTATACAGATTATATCGAGATCGAGAATAAGATGAATCAGTTATTGATAACTTTCGTTTATAAGCTGGAATAAAAAGATGATTTTGTCTGGCCTTCAAAAGGTTAGAATACAGAGTTATATATTTTTCTTAGTAGAATGTTTTGAATTAAAATGTGTGTAACAGTTAGTGGGATATAAATTAAAAAATAATACTCATTGGTCCTGACGCGGCAAAATATTTGAACTATAAATGACGTCATATCATACCACATTTGAACGCTTTTACTGTTTAGCTAATTTTTTTTGTTTCATTTTTTTCTTTTCATTTGTCTTTATTATTTTTGTTTTAATTTTATTTGTTATTATCTTATTTACTTATTCAAAATTATAAGAGTGATGTGTTGAGATAGGTAATGTCGTGTGCTGAGAGCTAATAATTTGATTCAATGACAATGATAATTTAACTTATCCAATATTTCACGAATTTTTTTTTTGTTCTTTCTTCATTTTTTTCATGCAATAACATAATGATTTTTCATTTCAGCCATTGCTCCTGTGATTTCTCAAAGAACATCTACAGAAAGAATTCGCTACGCTCAGGCGTCTGGCAGAATATCTGTCTCATATCTATAAGAAACAAGGTACGCTATTTGGTAACTATTCTCTTCGTTTTGCCAATACGTGAATGTGATTATATGAGGTGTTAGTCGTAATAACAAATAAGGGATAAAAATCCAATATACCCTATAGTAAATCCAGATTGAACAAGATCTCTTTAATCTTAGACTCAGGAAAATAGGTTCTTCAGCGTGTTTTTCCCTTTAGAACGAAAACTTCGATGAGCGCAACCTTTTTTATGAGAATATATTAGGTCCTAAGGTGGAAAAACTTCGAATTTGAACTGATGCTGAAATACTGCGTAATCGGAACATTCTATATGTCCAGTTCCATCTAAGGATATCCAAGGACAACGTTGTTCGATAGGTTGTAATCGTTATTCTCGCGGATAATGGCTAGATTCTATCAAATACTGTTATCTTTTTGGAACCTCCTTTTTGGAAATTTTCAAAACGATATATTCTATTGTCCGATCCGTGCCGTTCGCTAAACAAAGCCTCGGAACAGCGCCATGTCTTTAGTTAGAGATATAGTAAAATCCTGTGCTTAAGCTTTAATCATATAAAATATGATGCTTTAAGAAAATTTCCTTTGCTCATTTACAATTTATCTCATTTCCTTTTTCCGACTTCAGAATAAACTGCCGTGTCAACATTTCACCCTTCAGCTTGACTGTGGTGGCTGAGCCCATCTGCAGGCTCCGCCCCCTCCCATTATTACAATCTTGAGGACACTCGGGAGTCAGTCGCTTCTCCTTTTTAGTCATGAAAGTTTTTTTAAGTTTGAATAGCTTTATCACACATTCGATACTATCACTGTCTGGGAAGATATTCTCTTTTTTGTTTAATCTTGGCACTCTTTGACAATCTGTGTTGAGCGAACGCGTGCTGAGTGAAAATTTCAAATATTCTGAGAGTAGAAATTTTAAATTTTTTTTCTTATAATCTGATAACATATAATTCTCAACGACTATTTTCCTTAGAAATTTGTCCAGTAGAAGGTTATTTTTTGAGATTTCCACCTCGAAACTGGTGATGTGGTCTTCATTTTATTCTTTAAAAAAATATTGTTTAACGGATTTCTTATAATAAATCCTTCTTGGACTTTAATAATTACATTTTTCTCTTCATTTTAAGACCCGATTGGGCCTATGTGGTGTCCTTACCACTTAGAAAATCTTAGATGAAGTTGGTGAAGCGTTTTTCGGCGTTCCAAATAGAATTTCTCAGGTTTAAGATTTTTATATTTATTTTTTCTGGAGATTTTGGTAGTTAACCTTGTGTTCTTCATTTTCAGTCCAATATTTTTTCATATACTTTCCCTATATCCTTAATATTTTAATCTCTTCATTTTTTTTTCAAGCTGTTTTCATTTACATCGGAGGCGAGCGTTGTGCGTAGCGGTGTTCTAACGTACAGTAGACAAGAAGAGAGGCGGGGTTGCGGCCTGAGACGCTTTCCCATAGCAGCCCCACGGCAGCCATGCTGACTCTCCGCAATGACCACCCCGTCCGCTCGTCGATAGGTGCGTCTGAGCTCTCCACGATATAGATTGTCTTTCGTATTCTGCAATCATATATCTCAGATTTGTATATTGTTGCTTCTGAGCTCTAGACGTTTAAACTTGTATGATGGCGTGCGTTTTGAACGTATTTTTGGTGTTTTGGTCACTATTGGTCATTTCTGCTGTTGAATGTTTTTTTCCGTAACAGTGAGCATGCTGAAAAGTGGGAAAAGAATTGGGGTTTCGACGAGGGTAGGCATTGCTTCTTTACGTTGAGGAAGAAAAATGAAATGGACGCCGTTCCTTGCGCGCGTTCGGCGTTCATTATGCGTCTAGCTTATTGGTTTCGTGTTCGTTTCCATTCTAGTCTTCGATTCTCGCTACAAATAATTTTTCTGTTACTCAATATTTATTTTTTCAGTGTACTAACTTCATTACGGTTATTTAAACGTGCATCTCGTGGTGCATGCCATTAACATTTATATTCTAGTCTGCATCCAGCAGCATTAAATTGTTTTGCTGAAGGTATGTGTTAATCTCATTGCTTGTTTTAAATTAATATTTAGCGTTATTCTGACAAAAACGCTCAAACTGACTGTCTCAGGCATAATGGAAGAGCCAGCCTGTAAAAAGGCGAGACACGAAGGTAGTTGCTTTATAGCTTATTTTTATATGTGTTCGTTCTTCCAGGTATATCAGAGTGTGAAGATTCTGAGGCCATAGATGGGTTGAGTGAGTTGGAAAAACTTGATCCTTTACCTCAAACAAATGATACTGTAAGTTTCTATTGGGCTCTTCTCAAATTCGAAATTTAGCAATTCCAGGATACTGGACCTTCAACAAGCCAGGCAGGACCTGGTAGTGCTTCGGGCGGAGCACCACCTTCGTTCGGTCAACCAACTACTCAAGCTCCTCAGCAACCTTCATCAGTTTTACAAGTAAGGAATATAAAACTGACGGCTCTGGAATGCATTTCGTTCTTACAGGAATTGTTAATGCATCCACAACAGACAAATAATAATTCTCCTCGGACAGGCCCTGCTTTCTCTGTACAGTCTCAGCAGCAGCAAAATAGTTTTAATACTAGGTAAATTAATTCGGTATTAGTTCATGTTCTTCATCAGACCTTTCAGAAGTCCTATGCCAGGGCCTAACGGTTCAGGAAATACTATGATGTCCCCGCCGAGTACTGCCTTAGTTAATTCCGGAAGAAATTCAAGTGGACCAGGGCCTTCTCCAGGAGGTCCACCAGGACCTTTACAGCAACCAGGCAGCAACGCTATGCGGGCTCCTGTTCCAAGTAAGAGTTAGTTTGGGTCTCAGAAAATTACAAAAAATTTCAAGATCAACATCCAAACATGTTCGGTCCAGGCCCGGGTGGCGAAATGGTTAACCAGTCTCAATACGGAATGATGCAGAATCAGGGTGCACAAATGAGAGGCTATCCACCAAATATGGGTTATCCTCCACAAGCACCACAAGGAGTACGTTTTTTTGGAAACCATACCTGCTAATCAAACCAATTTAGGTACCTTATCCACCAGCGGGACGAGGGCAACAACCGATACGTGGAAAACCAGGGCAGCCAATGCTTCCTCCAGGAAATATGAACAGGCAAATGCCTAGTGGACCATGTATGTAGTTTCCGAAGATTCTGTCCTAATTTTGATATCTTAGCTGTAATGATGAATCAGATGATGAGACCACATCATATGATGGATCAAAATCAATTTAACGGTCAGTTCAACGGACAACCCAGACAAGGACAGTTTATGGCTGCGGCAAACCAACAATGGGCAGGCGGTCGTGGTCAACCGTATGCCAATCAAATGATGCATCCAGGACAACAAGGAGCTCAGGTATGAATGATATGAATAAAATTTGTTTCATGTCGATGTCTAGATGATGATGATGGATCCTTCGCAACAAAACGGTCCTCCAGCACCTCAAGTAATGCGGCAGACAACGAACCTAATTCATCAGCAGCAGCAGCAACCTATGCCTCCTCAGCCAAATGTTAGTTCTCTCATATACTTGATTGCAAAACCTTCTTTCAGATGAGTATGTCAAACGGGCACATGCCTCCCTCAGCTGTTTCTAATCCTAATCAACCACCTCCCAATGCTATGGGGGTCGCTCCAAGAGGAGGAATGCCTAATGCTCAAGCTCCCGGCGCTCAAGATCCTGAGAAACGAAAGCTCATACAGCAACAACTCGTGCTCCTTCTCCATGCTCACAAATGCCAACAACGAGAAAGAGCGGATCCATCACGAGTAGATAATGCTGTTCATTGCAATTTACCTCATTGCAATACTATGAAAGAAGTCTTGCAGCACATGACATCTTGTAATAATGGTCGTGGATGTCTATGTAATGAAATCTGTTATAATCTTCAAATTAACTTGATTTGTTTCAGATCCCCATTGCGCCTCATCTCGTCAAATAATTGCTCACTGGAAAAACTGTCAGCGCGAAGATTGTCCTGTTTGCAAACCTCTAAAAAGCATTCAGAACAATCCAAATGGTTCCGCTGGTCAAACAGGTACTTTTAAAGGTTTATTGGTATACATAAGTATTATAGTTCTAGGTTTAAATGAAATGTCCTCCCTGCTTGGTCCGAATTCAGTAGGGTCCTCCAATCCCGGTTTAGGCGCTGCAGGTCCTGGATCAGTTGATCCTCTCGGTCAATTTGGTTCACCGCCTTCTACAAACCCTAATGCTCAACTCCCAGCAAAAACCTTACTGTTGCACGATTGGAATCCTGGGGGCCCACCAAGGTACATTTCTATTTGAGAAAAATATATAGGAAAACTTTGCAGCGATCCATTCCGATCTCCAAACCCTCCTAATAAGAATATAAATTTACAAGGCTTGCCACCTTCAATGGCTAAGGGTCCCAATGATTTTTCAACGTTAGATTTTCCTCCACCTGAGCTGCCAAGCACTGTGAAAGTACGTTTGAGTTGACATCTTCTCGAATATAATGAACCGTTAAGGATTGGCATGCTCATGTTACAAAGGAATTAAGAAATCACTTGGTGGGAAAACTGGTGAAAGCCATTTTTCCCTCTCCCGATCCTAACGCTATTCATGATCAAAGAATTCGTGATCTCATAAATTATGCTCGTAAAGTAGAGAAGGAGATGTTCGAGACAGCTAATGATAGGGTAATTGTTTGTCTCCTCTTATAGTATTCAAACTTCAAAATTTCAGGAAGAGTATTATCATTTTCTAGCAGAGAAGATATATAAAATTCAGAAGGAGTTACAAGAAAAGAAAAACAGTCGCCTAAAGCCAGAAAGTATGATAGTTAAATTTGTATAATCTTAACTTGATCGTGTTTAGTTGATTTGACGGACCTGGAAATGCCATGTCCGCCTAACCGAGCGGTTGGTCCTTCCCCCGTTTCTGCGAATCAGCCTCAACAACAATCACAGCCTTCGAGTCAATGGTCATCATTCCCAGGCAGCCAGCAGGTTTGCGTTCTAGTGTGTTAGCAATATTTTTTTTATTGCTCCAGGAACTACCCGACAACAAAGGAAATATCGACAGTGTGTCTCAATTGAACAGTGAACTACAGTCGAATGTTAGCACACCTTGTATTAAAGAAGAAGACACTAAGAAAGAGGTTTCGTCCAACAGCTCCACTCCGAATCTGACACCTGCTGCTACTCCAACGCAGAATGGAATGAACTTCAAAGCCATCAAAGAAGAACCATGCTCAAGTATGCTTGAACTCACTGAGTTCTTTGAAACATTTATTTCTCAGGTGAAAGCAGTATGTTAGCAGTGGTGAAGACTGAGCCCACTGTCAAACGTGAGCCAACCCCACCAATAGGAGAGGATCAAAACTTCAGTGCTGATGAATTGAGGTAACAATAACTACTCGAACTACGAACAGTTAACTTCTATTTCTAGACACTTCCTTCTCCCAGTTTGGGAAAAACTGGACTCAAGTGATGATGCAGTCCCCTTCCGAGTTCCTGTTGATCCTCAGCTATTGAACATTCCTGATTATCTTGATATTGTCAAAGAACCAATGGACTTATTAACAATCCAAACTAAGCTCAACAGCGGTTTGTATACTAGTCCATGGGGTTTCTGTGATGACATATGGCTCATGCTGGAAAATGCCTGGCTCTACAATAGGAAAAACAGCAAAGTGTATAAGTTCAGTACTAAGGTAAGCACTTTGAAAGGATATTGTTTCAAACATTAACTTCTCCAGCTTTCTGAAATGTTTGTTGCCGAAATGGACCCGGTTATGCGAGAAATGGGCTACTGCTGTTCTCGTAAAATGTCGTTTACTCCACTTGCGTTGTTTTGTTACGGAGCGTCAATGTGCACAATCGCTCGTGATCAACCATATTGGGTGTAAGACTTATTGGTCCTTGCTAAGATTTCTAATGAACGGTTTTACAGTTATGAGCAGAGCTCATGTCAATTTGGTGTCACTGTTTCTGAACGTTACACATATTGTGTGAAATGTTTCGAAACCCTTCCTCCTGAAGGCATAAGTCTTTCTGAAAACCCCGCTGATACCACTAACATGGCTTCAAAAAGCGTTTTCATTCAGAAGAAGAATAGTGACATTGATTTCGAACCTTTCGAACATTGCAAATATTGCCATAGAAAATGGCACAGAATTTGTGCTTTGTATGACAAGAAGGTATGCTCATTTAATTAACTACGAACAATAAAGTTACGCTTTTCAGGTTTACGCTGAGAATTTCACCTGTGATACATGTAGGGCGAAAAAATCTTACGAAAAGCCCGAAAATCGATTTACTGCCAAGAAATTGCCTCATAATAAACTCTCAAGCTTTTTGGAAGACAGAGTGAGTAAAGTTAAAGCTAACCGGATCTATATCATGTGTTTAGGTGAACGGTTTTCTTCGGAGTCATCTGACAAATAAAGCAGATAATTATGAAGTTATAATTCGAACATTGTGTGTCCAAGACAAGGAAGTTGAAGTAAAGCCTATGATGAGTCAAAAGTAAGGCCCTTCCTATCTATACGTTTCTCATTTTCCATATTTTAGGTATTGCTCAATGGGATTCCCTCCCAAATTTCCCTACCGCACAAAAGCTATCTTTGCCTTTGAAGTGATAGATGGAGTTGAAGTTTGCTTTTTTGGTTTACATGTTCAAGAATACGGAAGTAACTCACCTAAACCTAATCAGAGGTGAAGACTTCTTCATTCAATAAAGATACTAATCCTTGTTTTAGACGTGTGTATATTGCCTATTTGGATTCCGTTCATTTCTTCCAACCTCGAGAGTATCGTACAGATGTTTATCATGAAATTTTATTAGGATATCTTGAGTATGTTTAAAAAATTCATAGCTTTCAGAACATTTTATTTCAGCTATGTAAAGAAACTTGGTTATACCATGGCTCATATTTGGGCTTGCCCTCCTTCTGAAGGAGACGACTATATTTTCCATTGTCACCCTGCTGAGCAGAAAATTCCGAAGCCAAAAAGACTGCAAGATTGGTACAAGAAAATGCTTGAGAAGGGGGTAGCCGAGCAGACTGTAGTGGAGTTCAAGGATATTTACAAACAAGTAAATTTGTGATTATATGAAATTCAAGTATCATTATGACTTTAGGCTAAAGACGATCAGCTGAGCACTCCAATGACTCTTCCTTACTTCGAAGGAGATTTCTGGCCCAATGTTATTGAAGATTGTATAAGGTAATTACTTGTTATCTAAGCGAATGTCTCATCCGATATATTACAGAGAAGCAAGTACAGAGGAAGAAAATAAGAAGAAAATTGAAGTAGTCGAAGGAGAGGAAGAAGAGGATGACCTCTACACTACTTCTGATAATGGAAAGAAGAAGAGCACCAAAAACAAAAAGAATAATCTCAAGAAGAATTCCAAAATAAAGAAGAAGCAAGGAGGATCCACAGGAAATGAGATTGCTGATAAACTGTTCTCCCAATTCGAGAAGCACAAAGAAGTGTTTTTCACCATCCGGCTAGTAACTCCTCAATCTGAATTGTCGCTTCAACAAATTCCCATTGTTGACCCTGATCCTTTGATGGTAAGCTAAAAAGAAATAGGAATAATTTTAATATTTTTCTCTACAGCCGAGTGAAATGATGGATGGAAGAGATACATTCTTAACGCGTGCTCGTGACGAACATTGGGAATTCAGCTCACTTCGTAGAGCCAAGTATGAACAACAAAGTTTTGTCTTGAACTAACCAATACTTTTCAGGTTCTCAACGCTCTGCTTGTGTCATGCCCTTCATGATACGGACAATGCTAAAGAAACCACCTACTGTAACAAGTGCAGCAGCCAAAATGCTAAATACCATTGCAATACATGTGAAGACTACGATCTTTGCGAGCCATGCTATACCGGCTTGAAGCACGAACATCCTATGGAGCAAATCAAGACTTTGATCGCTAGTACTGAAGGAGAGAACGCAGGAGGAAATAGATATGAGAGCATACAGGTATCAAGATTTATGCAAGTATCTTTAAAATACGTTTCCAATTTTAGCGCTGCATACAGTCATTGGTTCACGCATGTCAATGCCGTGACGCAAACTGTCGTCGAATGTCATGCCATAAGATGAAGAGAGTTGTTCAACACACGAAGATGTGCAAGAAACGAGTTAGTGCAAGTTGCCCGGTGTGTAAGCAGTTAATCGCCCTCTGCTGCTATCATGCTAAGCATTGCTCTCGTGATTCTTGTTCGGTTCCATTCTGTATGAATATCCGTCAAAAGCTTGCTGAACAAAAGAGATCTATCTCTCGTCGCGCCGACATGATGATGAGAAGACGTATGGAAGGCTTACAAGCAGGAGGTGGAAGTGGTGAGTATTCCTCCACTAATGAGCCAGTAATCAAACTAATTTCAGTGAACAGCGGAAACCCTGCGCCTGCTGGCAATGTCAACGTTAGTACACCACCGACGACAAGTAAGCCGGAAGCTGCAGTTTCTTCTAAGGTGGGAAAATGATATTTTGCGATAACTTATTTCGTCTTTTCAGGGTGGCGGAATACATATGCAAAACCATATGCATCCCAGTATGAATTCACAGCATGGCCAGCCAATGAGCCATCATCCCAACCAACCACCGCCTCAGGTTCAACAGCAGCAGCAACATCAGCAGCAACAACAACAGCAACAACAACAACAACAACAACAACAACAGCAGCAGCAGCAGCAACACCAACAGCAGCATCCTCAGCAGCAGCAGCAGCAACATCAACAACAACAACAACAACAACAACAACAACAACAACAACAACAGCAGCAGCAGCAACAACATCAGCAACAGCAGCATCACCTTCTTCAACAACAGCAACATCAACAGCAGCAGCAACAACAACAGCAACAACAGCAACAGCAGCAGCAGCAGCAAGTTGTTCCCACTGCTCAGCAACAAAGATCGATGATGCCAGGTAAGCCTTTCTAATCGTTTTCATGCTCATTGCATGTATTTCAGATAATTCACAACAGCCCGGTATGAACATGCCTCCGAATCAGATGAATCGATATCCGAATCATATGCCACAATCGATGAACGCTCCAGGAATGCCAGGACCTGGTGGTATGATGGGTGGTCCAGCTAGACCCGGCGCAAATCCAAATATGGGTAACACTGCTGCAATGCAGGGACAAATGAGACCTAATCAAATGCAACAACCTCCGCCGTACAATAGGTGAGTATACACATGTACCTTGAGTAGTTATCTTTATTTTTAAGGCCTGCTGCTGGTCCTGGACCTCAAAATGTTGTTCCTTATGGAGCTCAACCGAACATGATGGGTCATATGGGACAAGGAATGCAACCTCCTGGTGTTCATCCGAACATGCGAAATCGTGAGCTTTTTTTCATTCTTCCAATGTCATCATCATACTTTTGTAGCTGCTAATCAACAGAGGCCACAAATGAACAATAGTAACATGAATAACTCAGATCCAAATTTGGCTCATCAGTTGAAGCAAGTGGAGCAACGGTTGCGAGAAACACGTACACAAGAGGAAAGGTTGGAGCTTCATTTTTTTCTCAATATAAGAATCAATCATTTGCAGGGAACAATTATTCAATGATCTCAAGCGAACACCATATTTATTCTCTGCTTTCCTACGAACGGCTCGTAACAGTGATCTACAGATCGGAGGTGCTCCTTATGCTCCTCCTCAGGGCATGGGAGGGCCATACGGTCAACAACGACCGCCAATGTACATGCAACCAATGGGTCAACAGGGTCCTCAGTGGCACCAGCAACAATACATGCAACGGCCGCCACAAGGCAATCCCGCTGTGGGAGGAAAACCATTTGGTCAGATGCAGGTTTGAACTTTTTTTTTGAAACTGGGAGTAAATGGTGTTTGAAGGGTCGATCACCTTCAATGGGAATGGGCTCTAACTCACCTATGATGACTCCAGGACAACAACAGATGTTACCTCCGCCACAGGGTGGGCAACCTCCCGACCAACCATTCAGGTGATATCTAACTCATCCGCCTGGCTTTCCGTTCTCATAGTATTCGGGTTTGTTTGTGATAAACGCGCAGGTCGCGTTTCAGCACTTATTGTTACTTGTTCCTTCCGTGCTATCTCATATTTTGTTGGTGTTAGTTTCTTGTTAGCTGTCATCTTGTTGCGTAACACTGTGATCCGGATATATTCTAACTGCTGTTTTCCTTGCGTTTTAAATGAATCTTGTCTGTATCATAAGCGGTTTATACGAGTATAAGGTATTTTTCAAGTATTGCTAATTATAGAATAGTTTAGTATAATATAACCCTCATCAGTTATAATAAACATGATATAGAGATTGTTGAAATCTGAAAAGATTCATTGAACTGACCATATAGGTGAATATTCGATTTGAAGATTTGTTTAATTGTAAGCCGTCGTCTCCCTTATCCATATCTACAACGTATAACTTATTATTGATGTGCATACATATATTTATGTTAATGTTGAACAGATCGAACATATTGTTCCTATTAATTCTATAAATTATGAAATTTTCTTCACATATAATTATAAATTTTTATTATACTTTAACTATTTCAATTAGTTTACTCACGATTGTCCTAGGTCTTCTGGTGATCTATTCTGGTTTTCATGTTCATTTTTTATATATACATATATATACATATATATATATAAATTTATTATTTATATTTTTTTCTGTATTTTACTCTTTCATGAGATATTATAATAAACTGCATTAAAAATGTTTTGTTTTATTTCTGAGCTTCTTGAAATGAGCAGCTTCCAGTTAACAGATGAGCAACGTTCAGCTTTCTATGTGGAAGTGTCTGCCCTTCAACAACTTCCTGATACTTCCTACAAACATTGCCCACATACCAAAATGTTTTTGTGACAAGAGAGAGATAAAGATAGAAAAAAAATATTGAAAAGGTCAGAGAAAATTATGGGCTTGGAAATGGTTAGGTCTTAATGTGTCTTCTCTTAGCTGTTGTTCCCAAGGGAGGTGAGTTGGCTCATTATTCGCTTCCATTTCCTATCTTTTGCTTTCTTCAGCTTAAATTGGCAAAAGACATTTTAGGAAAAGATAGAATAGGAAAGATAATAAAAATTTCCACTTATTCGCCTTTTCTTTAGTGCCAAATTCGCTTCTGCCATTGTCACCTTTTATGGCTTTACTATTTTTCTATTCAAATATTTTGCTCTCAGTATTTGAACTATCGCATATTCTCACATTCATTTCTTGAGCGAGAAATAATTCAAATACTTAAATAGTTTCCAATTTTGGTATTTAATTAGAAATTTGTGAATGGAAATACAGAGAACGCTAACACCTTCATTTAAGTGAAGCTTCACAAATGCTATCTCTGCAATTGGATTAGCAAGGGATTGCATGTAAATCAAGATTCACTTCATCTTACTATTCTTATATAACTGTTTTTCTTCTTCTTTAATTCGAAACCGAAAAAAAAAAGAGAGAAGAAGGTTGAGTAATCTGTGTTTGATGATCATGTGAGTATCGGAATTGAGAATAAAAAGAATTTAAATTTAAAAAAAAAGAAAGACTTCATAGGACTACGAGGAAAAGCTGCTGCTCGTATCTCCCTTTTCGTGATCAATAGGGAGCGACCGAGTGAAGAGAAGTCTAAGCAACTAGTCGTACTAGCGATGTTACTCTTTCACATCTTCTTTCCTCTTTCTATCCCTCATGGGTTGAAAATTCTGGAAAAGGAAGAAGATGTTGGTCGCTTCAAGGCGGAGAACGAGAAAGAAAAGTATCATACAATGGAGAGTACAGACAAAACGAAAAATAAGAGGAAAAAGAAAGAAGGAGAGATGATGAAAGAGAATGAGAGAAAGAGAGAAAGAGTGTATGCGAGAGTAAAGAGATGTAAAATATTAAGGAGAGAATAGATGGATATGACGAAAAGCAAGAGAGAAAATAGTTTGAGAGAAGGAAAAACGAGAACGTATTTCGAGAGAAGATGCTTGTAGAAATATTTGTTAACTGTTATTATGCCCATGAATTCATATGATTCATTAGCATATCGCTGTGAACATATTCACGTAAACTTCATTCGCATCTACTAGCTGACGTTGAGCGGTTGCGCATTTCATTTTTTTCCCTTTTTTTGTTCTATTTTAAAACATTTTTTTTTCATCATTGTCATCTTGTGTGTTTCTTTCGTGTTCGGCTTTTTCGTCTTCCTTTTTCTCTCCTTATATCCAGTCACGTATCACCTCCTTGCCTCTCTTTCCTAGCTGAACATCGATAACAAGCAAAGTCTCGTTTGCAACAGAAGTATCTAAGTATAAATTATATTTTCCTTTTAGTCCAATCAGTTGTTTCAGTTTTACTCGATATTATATAAGAAACTCAGCTTGTTTCGCTTCCTAAATTGTTATTTCCACAAATCTTGTGGTTAGCCTCGCTTGGCCGGCCGGCCGGCCGGCCCGTCCTTCATTTGTTTGTTAAAAAAAATGAAAATAAAAAAACTGAAGAATTTGCTTTTTTTTCATTGTTTTTCGATGAGTTTTTTGATTTTTGGCATTCATGCTTCTCACTTCATTCCTCATGATGGTGGTTGGACATTTTGCCGGAAGGAAAGAAGAAAGCCTTGGTAACATCCGGGTTAGTGTTGCTACAGACTCATCCACAGTCATTCTACTCATGTTTAAGCAATATTTAATGACATTTCTTCTTCTTTCTTTCCTTCTTCTTTTTTTCCTGTGCTCTGTTACTCTTCTTTATATGTTCGATGTTACATCTAATCATACTTAAGCTTAACCTTGCATCATGTAAAGCTTAATAACAACAACGATGACAGAGAGCACAACACAAGACTTGAGCATTTTTTTTATTGAAATTCGTACACACTTTTATGGATAGAGAGAACACCTACGTATTTCCCAGCCCTTTTCCTGCATTTTAAGCGGTCCTATGAAATATGGATGTCTTCCAGTTTCGGCAAATTTCATGGTTTTCTTCGTCAGCTTTCCCTTCTTCATCTCTTTCTCTCTCTCTCTGTGTCTTTCTGTTTCGTTCGATGCTCTGTTCATATCTTCCCTTGGTTTCTCTCTCCTCCCTCTCTTGACATTGTTTGAGAGAGGAGGACTACCAACTATCGAATTTTATTGGTTAAATCTGCTATGGCACAAGTCATTCTATTCTATTTGTTTTCTTTCAGTTTTTCGTTAGTCAATCGTGCCCACAGAGAAGGTATCATTCAAGCTTTTCCTATCGTCAGCATATGCTTCATATCTTGTAATCCAGTCATTCAACCAATTCCCATGAGACAAAATATTTCGTTTCTAAACTATTCCTTTTGAAGTGTATCTCTGTGTCTATGTATGAAACGTTACTTCTTGAACTCTTAAAGTTCATATCACAGACTTATTGATTCAAATTTTTATTCAGATTTTCAGATTATCGTTAAAGATGGTCAGGATATAATGATTTGTCGCCAACAATTGAAACATCAACCTCAACTCAAGAAATGCGTTTCGTGTTTCTAATTCTTCTGATATTCTTCCATATTCATAGCACTTTATCAGTTGAATATAATGATTGGTAAGCATTCACATCTCTCTGGCCGCCAATCATTTTTTTTTCTTTTTTTTTCTGTAGTTTTGGAGAAAATTGTCGAACAGCACGACATACAAACAACCAAAATTGTACCGGCGATGACATAATTATAGGTTTGAAATCTATCCAATTGACTATATAATCTTTTTTGTTTAGAAACAATATTAAATGGATATAATAATTTACAATTACCAGGAAGCGGACATGTACATGTGTCTGTTGAGGTCAGAAATCACATTTCGTAATCGTTTCATCTCCCTCCCTCTCTCTCTCTATACAGATATGGGTACAAGAAGTCTCGAAAATTATCGAAATTACCTCTGAGTTTGAATTGGATATCTACGTAACAGAACGATGGACCGATCCGGCTCTAGCATATTCTCACTTAAATCCTTGTAAAAGGTTTCCCACTCATTGAACTACTCGCTTATTTTCCAAACCACTTCTTTCAGTAACATGTCTGTGGATGGTAAAACGATTTTAGAAAAAATTTGGAACCCACATGCTTGTTTTGTTAATAGTAAACTAGCGAATATACATTCAAGTCCCTTCAAAAACATCTTTCTACAGGTTTGATTGAGCATCAAAAGAATTTCATTCGTAAACCTTTATCCGTTCCAGATCTATAGCAATGGAAGCATTTGGCATAATTACCGAATCAAACTGACTGGTCCTTGTTCCAGCACTTTGAGGTTCATTTGATAGCATTCTCTTCCCTTAACTCATTTGTCATTGAATTTAGGACTTTTCCAATTGATCAACAACGATGCATGCTGTTCTATGAAAGCTTCACACACAATCATGATCAAGTAGAGATGGAATGGATTGAAACAGCTCCTCCGATAACTATTCTAAAAGGAAATATTACTCTACCTGATTATATATTAGTCGATTACCAATCAACAAGCGAATTGCGGGTTCTCTTTCGTCTTCATTTATTGTATTGATTCATCACATTCGTTTCAGTTATATCCTCCAGGTGTCTTTAATGAACTCATAGCAACCTTCACTTTTCAACGTCTTTACGGGTTTTACATATTACAGGTCAGTCTATTCACAAATTCTTTTCAAACATTTCCCTTTGCTCAAACTCATGAATTTGAACAATTCGCTCATTACAGGTTTACGTTCCCGCTTATATTTCGGTGTTTATATCTTGGGTGAGTTGAGTTAAGAAATATCGTGCAATACTTACTGCTTCAGGTTTCTTTCTATCTGGGAGCAGAGCAGATACCTTCCCGAACAACAGTCGGTGTCAATTCTCTTCTAGCACTCACGTAAGTGTAGCTGTAATGCACATAACAGTGCAACTGATTACTTCCAGATTCCAATTCGGATCCGTTGTTAACAACTTACCAAAAACAAGTGATGTCAAAGGTACACCAACTACTTTGAGAACTCTTTCTATTCCTCCTTTTGCAGCTATCGATGTATGGATCTTAAGCTCTATGGCGTTTATATTCGCCTCCCTAATAGAGCTTGCTGTTGTTGGTTATTTATCACGAAATGGCACACATGCCAGCATACAGTAAGATATATTCGAAAAAAAATCATTTTCTGCATTGGTCGCGTTTAGATGCCATTGTTCATGGTTATGTATGAGATGTCCTAAATGGACAGCGAAGAAGTTGGATAGAGTTTGTTAGCTTTAAGTTTCAAATCATCAAATCATTATATTAAGGCATCTGCTATAGTATTTCCTACGTGTTTTTTCTTATTCAACATCTGGTATTGGTTTGTATTCCTCGGGTGAGTTTTTCTTTGACGTTTTTTCTTTTTTTTTATTCTTATTGGCAAGTATAGCTCAGCAAATATCTTTTTCTTAGGATGTTTCTGCAGCTTAAATGAAGCATGAAAGACTTAGCGCATGTTGATTTATCTCATTTTCCAGCACGATTTATCGATAGTTTTAACTAAATTTCCGTGACATTATCTTGCATGAACTATTTACTAACAAGTTTTAAATTTTAAATGCCATTTGCCGCATGGTTTAATTGTACCCAACATGTTAATCATCTATAGCTTTATTGAAATAATTCTTTTTTTTTCTTTGCATGTATAATTTAATAAACAAAGTACATCTATCTGTCCAAGCATGTTATGTTGGGAACGCCGCTTGAGTTCCCTTTTAGAATTGTTTGTATTTTACGCATTGTCATGTTATACTCGAACACTTTCATTTCTTTTCAGCAAATTGCTACGAAGCTAATTAGTGAGCACGTAGCTCTTCTCCTCCTTCTTCTACTTCTCGATTCTCTCCCTCTTTCTTATAAACTCTCTTCCTCTTCCTCTTCTTCTCCTCCTTCTTCTCCTTCTTCTATTTCTTCTCCTTGAATTCTAATACTTTCTGTAATTTATTGCAAGCCTTTATCTGGACCGTGCTCATCCGAATGAATGTATCGCTTTCAAGGTATTTCCTTATTCAGCATGCAAACTATTTACTGCATTTAAAATCAATACAGTTATTCTGATCTTTCATCAGCATATTATATTTACAGAAAAGTCACCCGAACACCAAGATGGTAACCGACTTGAAGACTTACTTATTCAATCGAACTTATATGTTGTTTTATTATTAAATTTTTTCAAAACAGATGTGTTGTTCGTTACATGGGCAATATCATGAGTAATCTCACGTTTGCACCTAATACTTTTCACCAGCTTGTTACGTCTTGAACGGAGCTTGTTAGCTTGTACCACTTTCTTCCTCGTAGAACGTTTTCAACAGATTTGTTTGTGTTCAGAGTATAAATCCTGGAACAACATAATTAGATGGGGAAGAGCAATGTCATCAGAACAAAAAAAAAGATCATCCAAATCTAATGGTTTTGTAGCGAGTTATGGCCTTTTGATCGTTTGGCGCTGCCGCGAATGGCACAGCTGCTCACTTAGAAAAACAAATGGAATGAATCTCGCTTTCATTTCATTTAGCAACTGGAGTGTTCAAGTTTCCGGTCGTTCACGACCGCTAACTTTCCTTATACACGTAAAATGAAAATGAGCCTCCTTCATTTCACGTGGTCATTTCACGTGGACACAAAATTTCATTTCATTTAGCAACTGAAGCGTTCAAGCGTCATTCACGTGATCGCAACCGCTAACTTTCCTCATACACGTAAAATGAAAATGAGCCTCCTTCATTTCACGTGGTCATTTGACGTGGACACACGAATTTCACTCAAAATCAATGGATTTCCGCTCATTTTTTTTGTTTTGCTGAGTTTTCTATGATCTTCTCTCTGCTGAAATGGACAAAACAAATACTTTCTATGGAGAAAAGAGTTATCTTTCTAATCGGAGAAGTTAGAAAATCAAGCTAAAAGTTTTTCAAATATTGGGATGAAAGACGAGAAACATCTTTGAATGAACAACACACACAGTTGGCAGAGAGCATATCAATCAGTCCAAGAATGGTAGTAAGAGAAATAATTTCTTGTCACTATGTTAGTGATCAGATATCGACTCTGAAACTACTAATACAAACAGTTGCGCTCTATTCGCATCTTGAAAAAGTGTTAGTCAAATGTATTAACCTTTGAATTATTGGAACGTTTATCGTTTACGGCTGAGTTTATTTTTTTTTGAAATTTAATCTTCACTTCTATAAATTCCATTATAGCTAGTTCATTGAACTAAATGCTCATGTTATGCCAGCTTGTCCTTTTTCTTCTGATTAGCCAGGTTCGAACAAGCACGATCCAAGTTCGCGCTCAACGATCTTTTTTCGATTTCTTCAGTAAAGCTGGTCATTATCTGGTAATTCATTGGTCCATTAACGTGTTTAATCTTCAAACTTATAGATTGATACTGAAATTCCAAAAGTTTACATTCCCAATATAACTATTCCTATCACTGATGGTCCAGGGAATGGAAGTGTGTCAGCAACCAATCTAAAGATTACAAAATTTCTTACCCCACAGTAAGAGATGTTCGTATTTGGAGTCTCCCCACGTAACAAATTCAGCATTGATTTCCAACTGGGAGATGATGGTATTCTGTGGCAATCGTATGGAGGAGCCGTAAAAATCACAGGCGATTGGGCAGCTCAATATGCCATCATAATACCTGTTTGTACTCTCCTAGTAACAGTTGTTATTGAGTTTTCAGTTTTACGAGAACGGCTGGGTGAAAAGCGTTGCTGTGGGTCTAAATGTGACTCTAGCAGCCTCAGTTTATATGGAGGAGTATAAACCTCAATTTCATATTATGAAATGCTTAGCAGCAATCGATGACCTCACTGTCGAGTACAACTTCCTGTCATGAAGTTCAAAATAGTGGTTTTTATTTTTTCAGAGTTGGAGGGGGAGTAGTACCTTGGCTGATCAATTTGTTCCGAACACCTTTATCGTCTGCAATACGTTCAATTATTAATAAACAAGTAAATTAACTTGTCAAGATTTCAATAACTTGAATCACTAGGCATGTGTCGCTGCGAAAACGATTTTCCTGATTCAAGCCAACGAGTTCATCAAATCGTTACCGTCTCATATTCAATTGAACAAGAACTTTTATGCTCATTACTCCCTAGACGATAACCCTCGTTTTACAAAGTTTGTTCACTAATCAATAGTTTTTGACGGTCAATATCCAGAAAGTATGTTGAAGCTGACTTATCCGCTGATTTAGTGTTTGGTGATGTCCCATGCAAGTTGGATCGTCAACCTTGGACAAGTATCTTTATCCTTCTTATTAATCCAAAACAGTAGTGTTCAGACCCTGGTCCCAACCCTAGGATGGTCACCGTTTGGATGAGCGATGCCATACCTAACTGTTTTCTGAGCACAATACAGCAAGCGGGGGGATTCCGTTTTGTAGTCACTAAAGACGAGCCCGAAATGGAGCGTTACCTCCGTACGAGGTACGAGCCTTCTCTTCGACTTAAAAGCATTATTGTTCTAGCTGCTCGTTGCTCTCAATATGCATTGGAAAATTTTTCCCTGAGCTCAGAAAGAGTTACCCTGATAGTTATGTTGATCTATTTTTCAATACTTACGAAGAGCCTCTAATCATTTATGAAAAAGATGATATAAGGTTAGTTATCATTTGACCGTAGTCTACTTGTCTTTCAGAGCAAATTTCACATTTTCTGTTGATATGTACATTAACCCTTACCAGACATACTCAGATCCTCTAGCCAGATTAGGTAACAGTCTGCCATAGGAATCAATATTATATATACAGATCTCTTCAGTCTTGCAAACTTCATCAAGCGTAACTCCTCTCATCGAAGGGCACAAAGTTATCGGCACATTAAATGATACTACGGTGAACCTTCGACAAGATTTTTCAAGAATTGGAAACATGTCTTCAACGTACTAGCTGTCCTGCTACGTTATCCACTTAAATCAGCATTTTTCAGTTTCATGTCGGTTTTCGCTAACGTCTTCAAGATGTCTGCGAAAGTTTTAATCGAAACAGTACTAGCAAAAGGAATAAGCATTCCTGTAATGGATAACGTCACTATTTCAGGTAAAAAAGAACAAAAATCATAATTTTAGTAATAAAACTTCATTCTAGACGATTCGGAAATCACAGTCTTGGATAGACACATTCGTTTGAACCTCGACTTTAAACTTCAATAAATAATCGTTTCAAGCTTATATTGGTAAAAAAAATAAATCTCTAAAACTTTGCGTTTAGCCTATAACGTTTTTCGGCTACATCCATAGACGTTGTCAAATCTGGAACATAGATTAGTTATTATAAGACATGATGAAATCTCACTTGATTGTCTTTTGACGGTTTCAGGTTTGTGCTCTATTATAGAACATTCATCATCATCATGAACTGAAAGAAGGTCAACTTTGATTCTAAGCTGGTCTTACCTCCTAAACATTTTTGTCTCCGAATTTCCATGTCCTCAACCTTCTGATAAAGACCAGATATGTAACCATGCATCGCTCCGACATGTAAATCTTGAGACATACTCTTCCAAACTCTTCTCACTTTACTACAACAAATCGAGTTGCATTTACAATTTTTTCCAATTTTCGTGTAATAATCCAAACCATAATTGAAGGTTAGCTGTAATCATTTAATATCTAAGCACTCAAGAATTACATACTTCTGTTCCAGCGGCTATAGGGGCTAAGGCAACCATAAGAATATGATGCATCTGGGGTCTCCAATCCCCGGCAATCGCCCTGAAATCAACATTCATTAACAGTACCACATCGAAGGTTTTACCTGATAGGAATTAAATTGGGTAAACAGGAATGCTTGAATAATCTGGAAATATTTCCTTGATGATACGGATCAATAAAATAGCCGTCAATGTTAAGAGCGCTCCAAGCATCCTGAATAGCATTGTAAACGAAACTGAAATTACAAGCTTCCAACTTCTGATATGAATGATTCAGATAAATCACACAACATGTCTCTGAGTTCTTCATCGTCTGCTGAACAAAGGCTGAAGGCATAATCTTCGTTAAAGTTTTCTGTTTTAATTTCTCCTACAAATTCACAGACAACTTCTCCTAAAGGGAATCACTTGAAACAAAATTTTGATTCACACACACCATATTGTATGTTACTCAAAGTACGAGCACAATAACCAACTCCTTGATCACTCTTGAAAACTTCAAAACTGTAATTGGAGTATTAGGAGCAATACATGTAGAACCTACTTGTGGGGATTAATTAAATTGGACAGTCGATTCGGGCAAGTTGGTGGGCATCCGCAAGAATCCCCACAGAAGATTGTCGTAGTTAAGTAACTAGTATGTATGGATCGAGGAAAAATACAACCTTGCTCGGGTAAAGTCTCAAAATTGAAAGTAGTAATATGTCTTTATAAAGCAAACTCACGATACACTCGAACGGACTTATGTTCTTAGCCACGGTGATGCAAGCACAGTCTGGACCACATGACGTCTCACACGTGCAGGATATCTAAAACAGAAGCAGAAGATAACTTTAAAACAGCTAGACTTACAGTATAATCATCGGGTGTAAATCGAATAGGACAGGCATTCTTTATTTTTTGATCTACCTCATTTTGAGTGATGTAGTTGAACGTGCTAGGCTCTGGACGGCTAACAACCTCGGACATCGAATCATCAAACACCGGTACCGGTTGCGATTCCATTCCTGTTGAGAAATCTCTGGAAGTTTAGTTTGAGAGTTTGGAGTCATTCCGAGCAACTCACGGATTTACCAATATTCTTCTAGAAACCTTCTCCAGTTCTTCAGAATGAGTTGTAAAAATTTGTTTCCCAAAATATTCTTGAACTGGCTTCATGATGTTTACTCGCTCTGACAACAACGTCTTCAACGAAACAATGGTTGATTACCTGATTTCACCAGCAGCAGAGGCTCATTGGTGAACTCTGAGAGATATGTGAGTGCATTTTCGAGAGCTGAATACTATGATAAACGCAAAAAAAGGTTCATACTCACAGAAAAGCAAAGCGCTGGACTTCCCACCAACTAGTCCTCGATATATTCGAGACTTCTCTACTCGCTCGTTATGGTTCCTCACCATCGCCCAAAACGTTAATATTAAGAAAAGAAACACATAAACAATGAATTCACCTCGTTAATCGCACTTCGTTCATTCCAATGTATCATTCTGATCTGATTCATTCTAGAAAGCATAGTTACGAAATACTGAGCAAGATGGATAAAAGCTAAAACACAGTCCCCTCCATAATGCTTTCGCACAGAAGATAGTAATAAAAGTATATTTTATAAATCATAGAGTAATCATAAAGGACGAAGAAGCTGAATAAGAGAGAGAGCTTTTGAAAAAAGAAGTTTCCAGTAGCTTTTGCCCTATGAATGATTTGAATTTTTATTTTTTTTGTCTGCTTCTCTAGCTACCTCTTCGAGCATTGTGTTCTCTCACCAAAGGACTGCACTGGAAGAAAACGAGAGTTAAATGTATCAAATTTATTAGAATTCTCAAGCTCAACATTGATTTGTACAGAAAAGTATACAGCTTATAAAAAGTGATATATATATAGTTTAGAACCGTGTTGGAGGCACGTTTATAGGGGCTGGTCTTTTCAATTGTGACAGTTTGTTTTTCGGTCGGGGATCCTGAAAAATAGGTTGGATCATTTGAAATAATAAAAGTGCTCACATCATTATTAAAAATGGCTACAGAACTTAGTGAGCGTTGTCTTGCGATACCGGCATTTGAAGTAGATTGTAAATCTTCTGATGGCAACCGACGAATGACAGTTCTTCTCTCTCTCCGTATGCCTATGTGAAAAAAACATTAATAGCTCATGCTTTCTTCATACCGTTGCTGTCACAATCACTATCACTGTCCTCACTGAAATGATTATGACTCTCACTCCGGCTTCTTACAGCAGGTAGTCTTCTTTCAGTTGCTTTTGGAGGCTCTGACCTGCATGGTGATGTTCTCGCATTGATAGGGAAGGGACGCATCAAAGGAGGATCAGATGAAAATGACTTTCGATAGAGCTGAAGTAGAAATATTAGCTGATAATCAAGATAGTTAAAAACTTTTGCGGGAGGTTCTAATGGCACTGCTAGTGTTTGTAAGTTTTCTTGAGAAGGCATTGATATAGTTTCGAAATCTTTAGATTCTTCTTTTTCCTAGAACATTTTTCTGCTTTCATCAAGGAATGGGAAGATGTACTGACCAATTTTACCACTTTGTCTCGCCTGTTTCGTTCGGATATAATCTCTGCTAACATGAAAGCGTTAGATGCTGGAGGTGAACCAAATAATGTGATTTCCCCCATCTGCGATGACTGACGCGAATGTAGAGATGGGCTGTCAGAGTCGCTGGATATACTAGAAGGATCTCTTGGAACAGAAGAGCCTTCTTGTGTATCCTGCATGTCTTGTAATCTACCCATTCTCCATCCGTATGTATCTTCACTGTCAACTGGTACTTCTCGGGTTGTATTTCCTCGGCTCTGAGCATCGATATACTGAAAAACCGAGAGAACATTATTGTATTCAGGGAAAGAGTCATTACAACATATGTATTTTCTCTCATAGCTGTACGACGTCTTCGTACTTGCTCATCTTGGCCTTCTCCTGAGGACGGTTGAACTGGCTCGAGTCTATGCATTTGAGTCCAAACGTTTGAGTCGAAAAGAGATGCAACAGTCTTGAAATGAATAAAGTACACCAATATCAAGTACATATGACGTACCTTGCCAGCTCTACGAGTTGTTGAAACCTTTTGAATTATTAGTAAAGGTAGTAAAACGATGGGGAAACTTAGGATTACCCATGCTATGAACTCGCATGCAAAAGAAACTGGTTTACCTGCGAGATTGATCAGCTTGTAATCAGTAATATGCAAGAACAACAAAATCTGCATGATCTCAACATTGAAAATACAATGCAAAGCAGACTTACGATAAGCAACGATGGAGTCATAAAGATCCAACAGTATTTTATGAACAATCCAGTAGGACCAAATATGGCTTGAAGTTTGCTGGATGTATCGAGTACAGCAAATCGTCGCATTGGAAGCACTGGTATTCTTATCATATAAGAAATATCAGCGACTATTTCTTTTACACCTAAGAATGAGATGAGTGGAAATTATACACCTAATATGTAAACCATAAATTTGAGTGACAATGAGGATCAATGATATGGAGAGAATACATGGAACTGCACAAGCGATCAGATTATCCATTGTATGGAAAAGTATCATGCCTCCCTGAAATAAGTTGTTCTGTTTGGCTAGAAGAATCTTTCACCTTCGTGCAAAATGGTAATCCCAAGATAAATCCAATGAGACAACAGGCTATTATCAACTTATTCTGTAGACGTCTGTTTAACGATGACAACTTGGTCAGCACAGAAGTGGCAATCATTTCCATTCTCAAATTATAACCTAGCTGAATCGTATAGAAAAGAGCTTACAAGGCATATTGTGCGTCGAGAGTTATGAAAACAAGCACGGCGAAAGTACAAAAACTCCAAAAGGCTCCTCCTTTTAAAGTAGATGTTATAGCTGTATAGATGTAGAAAGATAGGTAATGAGGCTCGGTAGCTGCATTCAAGTTATAGCGGATGTATGACAAATTATTAATTACCGACTACACTTTGCAACGGGATCTTCATAATACTTGAAAAGTATCCAAGGTACGAGAAAACTACTAAGGCGCTCAGAATAGATGTGAGAACGCTTCTTAAACAAGAAAAGAACTTGACGAGGATACTGTTAGAACTTACATCGATACTAGAAGCACACTATCTCGATAAATATTATTTTTGAACCTGCTCAAAGCCGAAAACGTAACTATGGGAGCCGTGTTAAGAGTTAACTCATAGAACACTTGTTGTACTGCAGCTCGCCATATCTGAAGATTGAAACTCTTTTGAAGAAACAAACGAGACCTAACCCCAGAAACAAACAAAAGTTCTGTGTCAATGTTCAGGAGGAATGAGATCCCAGTATGAGCACCAGGCAAAGCGATTCCTCTCAAAAACAATATGAACAGCTGAAATGCTCAAAAGGGTGAAAGAAACATGAATCTAAGATACAAAAACGAAAGGAGTTACGACAGCCAGAGTAGCTCCTAAGCCGGTTGAATGAGTGAACCGCAGAGAACCGACTGTTGTCAACAACCAGGAGATGAGGAAACAAATTACAGCATATCCTTGAAGACTAATCGAATAGTCGAAAGGATCTTGTACTGGAATGATGTTCGTGCTGGAAAATTTGTCGACAATGATTTTAACAATGATATCGTTTACAGGAAGTAAGCTTCACTAGCTATTATGCTGCTATTAGTACTTGAGCAATTGGAAAGATTATCAAGATCGCAACATGATTTCCCTAGTACCATTGCTGAAAAACGGACAACTTAATGACTGATACGAGAGTATTACCGGTTGAGCAAACTTCCCAAGGGATTACCCCAGAGAACACTGCCCTTATTGACTGCAGCATAAAATGAAGCCCCCATGCAACGTAAATATTCAGGTATATGGCGAATATAATACCCATAATGATAAAGACCCATCCGACGCCTGAAAGAAGATTGTTATATTCCGGGAACGAATACCTTTCCGGACCTGAAGCTATCGGGGCTAAAGCTTCTAATGCAGCCGGCATACTTAAACCTGACCATTGTCCTATGGCTAACTGTAAATACAACAAGGGAAAACCGATAAATAGATGGCACGTAATATAAGGTATAAGGAATATTCCTGAAAGTTTTATACTTTGAAAGAGTCAACTAGATGAGATTACCTCCATCGAATTGATAAATACAGGCAGGAAACCTGATTACATTTCCTATCCCAACTATTAAACCTATACATGACATGAAGAAGTCTTTCTGGATCATGGTAGTAGAGCGAAGAACAGAGTGTGAAGTAATACCTGCGTCCGAAACATTTGACGAACTTCATGTTTACCCTCTGCGTAATATTCTTCCCGACGATGTATGGATAACTGTTCCCACCAACGTTTGTCATGGGGAACTCGATCACTTTTTTTGTTATCAGCCTCAGAAGGAGTCTGAAGAGAGAAATGACAAATCGGAACTTATCGAAGAAGAGATTGTATACAACCGCTCTTCGCTGAATATATGACAAAATGAAAACAATGCGCGAATATTTGGGAGAGCGACTGACTATTGTGTTCGTAGCGCTGGCAGGAAGGGTCATAATCGCTGTTGACGGACTTTCGATAACTGATCCTCTAGGAATGTGTTTCTTCTTTACCATTCTCGATGAAGTTCTGAGGAATTTTGTTAAGGTTTCATATCTTGGCTATAAGAACCTGTTGAGAATCCTTTCGGTTTCATCTGCATGACAAACGCATTCCAAATAATATTGCGCACATTTGTTCGCGTCATGTTGTAGCATTTCACGTAGCTTCAGTATTTTGTTATCCATTTCCTGAGATTAATTTTAATGTAGGCTGTACCATATTTTGAGGAAAACAATTTGTTAAACTTCACATACTTGAGTTCTTGTTTTTACTGAGTTTCGATTGCATCTACGATGCAAATCATTCCTTCTAGCCAACGCTTCGATTTGCAACCTAAGCGCTGCCTTCCATTCAGAATAGTCTCTCATATTAATTACTTATCAACTCATTAACCGCTATAATCAATTATCTAAGAAAACAACGAAACAAAACCAATTTGCTCACCATTTGGAAAAATTTATTGACAGAAATCGTATGAATATTATGAAAGGAAACAACAGGAGAACAGAAATTGTTGAAAGTGCTATAGGAAGTCAAGAAGACGAGCATGGCGAGACGTTTTCAAAACAGGTTTTCGCATCTGAACGTTGTAGAAATTCATTATAAACTAACTATCACCGCCCATATTTTCTTTACTCAACTAAGTAATACTATTCACAACAAAAGATATCAGTGTGAATCTGAAGTAAGCTCGGTTCCGAGACATACTGGTAATGCTATAACAACATATCGGCGGACTTGGTATGTGGTAGCCTAGTACAGGAAAACGCGCTCTATTGCGAATAGGTCGCCCTTCAAATTTTCAGATCTTCTGTCATCCAAAGTCATTGTAAGTATTGGTAACTTGTTACTGATTTCTTTGAATATTCTGTACACAATTAATATGAAATATAATAGATCTTTTTCATTCAGATAATCATGCTTGGGCGAATATGCCCTGTAGTAACGTCATCAAGAACAACTGCGGGTATTCTGCAAGTTTTTCCGTCCATTTCTATTCAAACTTGTGAAGTTCATCATCATAAAGAAAGACATGATTTACAAAGGTAAGTGGTCCTTATCGAGGTATTTATCAAATTTGGTTTAGATTTCTAGGTATTCATCGTTCTAACAAAGCTAAAGCTAACAGAAATACTCATGTCAACGAAAAAATGTTCAGACGAGTTAGTTTTTTTGTCTTTGAATATAGAAACAAGTAACTATTTAGATGCGAGGTCGCAAAATTCCCACAATTGATCTTCCTGATGATGCTGAACAACGAGAATTAGATGCTTTACCTCCAACCGAAGTTCGATTGGCTTTATTAAAGAAGGGTATTAACCCGTATAAAGATGTACAACCTCGGAACTGGCAAGAATCTCAGGTGACAATGCAGTCTTTCAGTAAGTATGTTGTTTTATGAAGTTTTATGCAATTCTACATCATCAGATGCTGTTGTTGATCCCTATGTTTCCCCTGAAGACCCTCTACCTTTCCTCGGTAGTAACCTAGGAGAAAACACAAGGCTAAAAGCTGAGGAAGTTAAGGTTTGCTAAGTGTACGCATTCCATTATTGTAAAATGACCTTCTAGGAAAGAGTTCTCCATAAATATCATAACTGGAGGAATGGTACAAGCAGAATAAAGAAGAAGGAAGGCTTTGAAAAGTTTGATCCTACAGTCAGTTTTTAAAGAAGTTACATAGCCAACAACAATAATGTTCAGAAATTCGGGCCCACAGCTGATCATATTTATGAAGAGGCTCATAAAGCTCTTATGTCACGAGATACGAAAACTCTTCACAAGTTCATAACTGAACGTGCTTATGTTGTAAGTCTTCTAATGATGTACTTCCCTATCTGATCTCGTTTAGAAAATGTGGCCCGATGTATCAAATGGATCTATTTTCTGGGAGCTTGTGGAAAGAGTAGAACCTAGTAAGGTTGTTGCCGTCCGCTGTGCTGATAATCCGTATAAATCCGGAAACGATATCGCCCAACTCACTGTTAGAATGCATACCAAACAGGTAAGGAGTTATTGATCCTTTCTATATTTATTTCTTTTTTTATTTCCAGAAATTAGCTATATATGATAGGTTTGGTCATCTTATTTTGGGTTCAGAAACGGAGCCAAGAGACGTAGTAGAATACGTAGTATTTGAAAATCATATCGCAGTGGTAGATGGAGTTTGGAGGTTGCATGACAAAGTCTATCCCAAATGGAGTCAACCTAAACAAGGAGCTCATCTGACCAAAGAATTAGGTTTGGATTTGATTAATGAAATATTCGTGAGAGTTGTATGTTTTAGAAGACAGTACAGATACTAACGAAGTAAGACCTCAAGAGGCGTCCTCCCTACCTCTACGAGCAGAACAAGTTGCTCGTCAGCGGAAGCAAGATGAAAAATCAGGAAAATCTGAAGATGATTAATATAGTCGTTATAATTAATTTTAGTTTTGAGTTGATGCTAGATTAGGAACATTGAGTTTGTTAATTGTTAAATTTTTGTTGAAGTGCATATTTTCAATTTCTGTTTCTGTCTTACCTCCGTGGTTATGAAACCACTCTCTACCGGACTTTTCCTTTATGTTTATATATATGCTATATGTCTTTCGTTCTAGAATATGTCCGGTATTACTATCACTAAGAAAGATTCCAAGAAGGAGAAGCCAAAAAGAACTTTGGATGACGAAGAATTCGAAGAGTTTCCTGTTCAGGTGAGTAAATTTCATTTCTTGTATCTTTTATCTTTATCACTTGCAGGATTGGAATGAAAAAGCTGCCGATGGCGATGATGATGAAGTTCACGTCTGGGAAGACAACTGGGATGATGAAACCAATGAAAGCGAATTCTCCAAGCAGTTAAAGTGAGAAAATTTGAAATGTACAGGACTCAATATAATTTTACAGGGAAGAACTCACCAAGAGTGGACATAAGATTTGAACCGGTGCATCTCATACGATGAATTAATTATCCTGTGTCTTTATTCTCCATTGTGAAACTCCATTGTTTTCATTTATTTTATTTAAGTTATTTAACAATAAAAACGTGTCTCAATTAGGATCTGTACTAAGTTCACTCAGAATTTTTTCTTTTTCTTTACTTCTTTGGATGGATTGCTCTTTAGATGGCCTGGCCCACTTGTTAGGAGTTCCTGGGGATCTTCCTGAATCCGTTTGACGTTTGTTTACGGGTTTCTTCTTGTTCTGATTCTAGAAGAAATGAAATTCGTAGAAAAGATCGAAGTTAGAAATTGAGCTCTACCTGATTCTCTCTAGTAGGCCCTCGTTCGCCTGTTGCTGTTGTCTGCATACTGCAATGAATTTCTGAGTAGAAGTAGAAAAGAGTCAACTTACCTTGCACAAGCATAGTTAGGAGGGAAAGGATTTTTTGAAAGAAGTATATGCATAACTGGAGTATCGACGCTAACTCGTATTCTGAAGGGTTTGGTTAATGACGAAATTGCATGGAAGCTAACTTTTGTAATTGATCGTTTAATGGATTCCAATATGTTACAGATTTTCCTACTCCTAACGAGTTCCATTGATACAGAAGTTTCTAAGATGAGTTCTTTTCGAAGCAAATTGAGTGAGAATGAAGCACCTCATATTTCCTTTTGAACACTTCGACACAAGAAATGCATTTATCAGCAGCGTCTCCTATTCCTTCGAATATAACATATTGATGAGTTTCATCCTGCAATTAAACGTCCTTAATATCTCGCATATAAATTAGACAAACAGCGAAGAGCTTCATGACGTAGCTTATGATGCTTTGGAAGTTCGTCCCCTTCTTAATTTTCATAACAGCAACATTTGTTGTATATTCTTTGGGGAAAGCTGGTTCAGCCGGGATTTCTTCATACTTATCTGATATAATGTAATTCTCCATTTACAACTTTCTGCAAAATTATAAATGAAACAAGCTCTGTTTCAGCTGAACGGATGAAAATTTTTATTTCGAAGGGCAGTTATTCAGTTTTTCTGCGGGCGCACATTTTTTAGTACACGTCATGTTTCAGGATACGGTATATTACAAAAAGGCTAATTAAACTTTGAGAAGTTGGAAAATGTAAAAGTTCATTGTATTGATAGCTTCTATCTTCGTTACTACAGCAAACATAAACTCTTTTTTGGTGAATGCTTGATTTTTATTGTTGAAGAGATTTCTTTGAAAATTGTAAAATTGGAATGGGTATGGATTCATAGATTCTGATAATGCCTTGCTTTTTCAATTTATTTCTTATCACAATCACAAATTGATCAATCATCATTTGACGGCATTATCTGTTGGACAGTTCATCTTCATATTTATATAAGTTAAAGGATGTAAAAGCTTATCTTAGGAAATCTAAGAGACTTTATCATTCGTATCCATGTGCTTGTTCAACACTTTCTTTGTTTTTGTTCGACTTGTTATGCAGAAGTCTAATTCGTTCATGACTTCACGTCCTGCCTTCATTTAAAACAATAATTAAAATCTTTTCTTTTAATTTGTATTGATTATTGATGTGGGTGTCCTTCGGGTTCGATCTCCAACTGATTGTAACAAATACTTCGGTTTTCGCGTGGTGATTGCTTTTTTCTTTGTACTGTTCTCTTTGATTTACCGCTAGATTACATGGCATTTCACTCCTTTTTGCATCATCACTTCTACATTACTTCTTCCAGTTTCTATGGATTATTATTGATTCAAGAATGGAGTATAATTACCAAGATGTTCAAAGGACAGATCCTTTTCTGTCCTTGGATGTAAACTTAGATGATATACAATGTAATCTTACATCCCTTCTTCCAATATCAACTCTCTCATTTTCCTATTTAGCTGTCGGACATTCTGAGGCCATGGATTGCTATCCACCCGTTTGTAATCAATGGAATCAGCAACCAGCTAGCTCAGTTTATCAACATAATCCTTACGGAAGAGTTAATCAGCACAGTCCCCCTCAACAATATTATGATCCAAATAAGTAAGATCTTTCATTCATTACCTATTTTGAAAGTCAGATGCTTCAAAGTTTAGCTTTATTGACAGTTGTCATCCCTCATGTTTCATGCGTTGTGACACGTGGTCGAAGAGCTGAGAGCTATGACATTTTTTTAATCACACTGCTTTCTAAAAATATATCTTGATAAAACAAAATCCTTCAGATCGCGAGAAATCGATTCCGTCATGACTCTTCTTCAGTCGGATTCACCACCGCATCATGATCCTTATGCCATGAAGTTAGTAGAATAAGAAAATGAAACTATCAGAGACTTATGCTTCAGGTTCTCTCCTCCAAATTTTGAAAGCCTTCCAAATTATAATTCCACGGCGAGAATGCTATCACAGTTGGGATCCCAACAATCACAGACTCAATCCGAAGCTAATTTCCAACCGGGTAGTTTGGTAAGCTCTTTCCCTTTCACTTACAAATGGAAACAGTAGACCTTAATTATCTTGACAGCTACTGACGAAACATCTTTGTAGAGAAAGGGGGTTCAATCGTTCAGTTTTTTAATATCAAATTGTCTAGAACCCACTTTTCTTTTATCACTCGTCAATCAGCATGCACCATTGGTGACCAAAGAATGTTTCAATCAGTTTTTGCCGTGAAAAGAGCATGAATGGCTCATCCAAGTTCACAAACGTTTGATAATATGCTCGGTATCGTACCAAATATGCATTTTGCACAAGTGCTGACAAGCGAAATGTACGAACGATAGGAAAACCTTTTGTTTATCAACTTAGGTTCCCAACTTTTTATCTTTTTTTTAATTACTGTCTGATACACAATTTGGGGGATGTCGAATGAAATTCACATGCAATCCTCCAGCGCGCCTTGTAAGACTTCGATTTACGAGGCAGACAGGAACTTTCCTTGATAAGCTTTTTGATTAGCTGTTTATTTTTCTGGAGACAATCTTCAGAATTTAAGAAATCAATACTAATAATCGAAATTTGTACAACCAGAGAGAAACTGTTCGGAATTTGATCATAAACCATTTTTATAATTTAAGGCTCAGAAGTTAGCTGCTCCAGCCATGCAGCCTTTACCTGCGGTACATTCCCCTCCAGCCATGTATGTCGAGGAGAGACTTTCTCCTTCTTATATATATAAACCCCCAAAGGTGTGTCTGAAAATTATTTTGCGTAAGTTCACCGCTTCACTTGAAGATTGAGCCGACAGCAGAGCCAGCATTCAGCAGCACACCCCGCAAGCCCTCCAATACGAAAGAAGAGTTGCTACGACTTCTGGTATCCGAAAAAGGTCTCTCACACAATCTTTCTGTATTGAAGGTTAATATGTCGCCGGGTGAGGTGGAAATGCTCAAAAATAGAGACGTGAGACCGAGACCATCGGCTGTAGCAACGAGAGTAACTCGTGATCAGAAATGGAAAGAGGATGATATGAGCGACGGGGATGATGAACAACAGGAAGAGATGCCTACACGAAGAGGCCCGAAAACAGAAAGAAGAACAGCTCATAATCTGATTGAAAGAAAGTACAGATGTTCAATCAATGATAGAATTCAACATCTGAAAACTATTCTTGGCGGAGAAGATACCAAGGTGAAATTACATCTCTTTTTCTTTTTCTCTCCAATTCCTTGCTGTCTATCTTTCAATCATCCCATTTCAGCTTAGCAAATCTGCAACATTACGAAAAGCCATTGAACACATTTCCAATTTGGAACATGAAAATGCAGCGCTGAAAACAGAAAATTTAAGATTAACTTCTCTGTTGATATCAAATAAGATCGAGGTCTGCAACATATGGCATTCCGGAAAAAAAAGTATTTTGCACTTTCCAGATTCCTCCGATTCATCATCTGCCTCCACTTTCTCCAACGTTTAGTAATTCTGCTTCCACTTCAGGAATAGAATCTCTTGAGTCTCCAGATACTGTAGAGCTCTAATATGTTTTTCTGTTATTCTCTTCTTTGTTTCTAGAACAGCCCCTCATCTCCCATTTTCTCAATGAAAGGTAATACAAAGCCCAAAATGGACCAAGTAAGCGTCATGCTTATTTCTAACATGGCCCTCATTTTCAGGTTCGTCTCTCAATTTTCGCATTCATGCTCGCCATGCTCATTTGGAACCCTGCTAGCTTCCTAGCTGGTTCCGTGGCTGCAAGTCAGGAGCCTGTAATTCATAATTCACTTCCAATCGGAGGACGTGTCTTACAGGTAAGCCCATTCATTGGCAGCTTAAGTTTCTGATAAGGAACAGATTTTACGTCTTTTCCCATTTGATCGGGAAATAAGAAATGAAATTATCAAAGAAACGATCCTTACAACTTCCTTATCTGGAGTTTCGTATAGAATTACTATTTCAGAACGATGAGGTTTTTGACCCGTACTATACTGAAAATTGGTGGCAAACAAACATTATCCGTCCAGGATTTGTTTGGTCTGTAAATATATTTGTTGTGTTTTGTGTCCTTATAAGACTTCTTGTATACGGAGAACCTGTACAGGTACTTGATCCTCATTGGGATCTGTAAGTGTGAACGTTTTGTAGGATTTCAAATCTCGTTCATGGTTAACTTTCTTATCATTCCGACAGAGAGCTCGTATAGAAACTGATGCAGGAAATGTGAAGGAAGCTATGCGATTGTATATGGAATGCTTACAGGTACACTTCCCCCTTTTTTTTTGGTAAACTTTTTGTTTGACAGATTCTGGAAAGACCACTTCCGTCTGCAGGTCTCGATTCTCTCTTATCAGTTCTTTGGCAAATAGTTCGTCATACTTTGAATAGTTTATGGATTGGAAGGTGTCATCAATTCTCTTATGAACAATAATTACAAAAACTGTATAGATGGTTCTCGAGAAGAAAACGAAATGATCTGAAACCTGTGACTGTCGTTTGTAAAAGCCATGCTCATACAGCTCTGATCTACCATAAGCTTCATCAAGTACGGCGAATGGGTTAAGGATCTTAAATGGTTCTGATTTCCAGCTCCTACTGCTAGGTGTTGATGAAACACATGGCTCTGTATCTGGATTATATCTTTGCCTTTCTGCCGTGAACTTGGCTGAAAGCGCTGGCGTTTCTGTTGATGGATTACCCAGAAGTGTCATGGCAGACATATACATAGCTGCTGCTCTCAGGTTGTTTCGGGGGACAAATTATATTGAACGGCTGATATTTTCTAGGACAAGATTATGTCTCTACAGCCCTTTCGCGAAAATCATATCCATGTACTTTTTCCGAAGAGCTCGGAGACATGTTCGACGATCCGAAGAAAACGCTGTAAGTTACTGTCTAGAATGACGTTTTCAAAATTATTCTTGAAGGTGAATGGATTGGCTTGGTTGTTTCACCCACTGAGCAAGAGTTTCCTGTCGAACCCTGAAACTTTAGAAGCTCTTTTAACATCATCCTCTAGACATGCTTCATTTACCTCGGAAAACTTAGGTAGTTGGCTATACCAGTTTCCTCAATCATTCCGTGTTCAGATGTCTCTCCCGTCTCCAAGTTGAGGAGTCATTTCAAGCTTCATTTGATACAACTTCTGTCGTCTGAGTTATCTGGGGATTTGGAGGAAGAGGTTAGCAATTGTAACTTTCTATCTAATTTCTTTTTTTAAAGATTGATGTGATTGACGTCTCTCGCCTGTTGCTTTCAATGTCGACCGGAGGTGGCACCCCGAAAAAGGAAAATGATTGGAGTGGGTTCCCTGTTTTTTTTTAAAAATGTTTATTCTCTGATTTCAGATTGTGACACAACCGTAGCAGACGGAGACCCTCTATGTTCATGGTGGACTCATGTGCTAACTTGTGCCCTTCTATGGCGACAAGGACGTAATGAACTTGCGAAAAAACACTACACGGTTGTAAGACAATGTCCGAAAGAACTATTAGCAGAGTGAGATTCTTTAATATGAGAGATTTTCATCTGTTTTTATAGACCTTTGGCTCTAGCTGTTGGTCATGCTTTTTGTGCCAGGAAAATTTGCATCGAAGACAGGTTTTTTTTCTTTTAACTCAATGAGAGCTTATACCAAGTCTTCAGAAACAACGCTCAATTTGGAAAGTTTGTGTTTGTTCATTGTCAAAGTGCTTTGGAGACCATGCGTATTGTTCATAGGAAGGAAGACAGCCAAATCCAAGAGATTCAGGTATTAGACTTCAACGATTCTGATTACTTAACAAGAATTTAGGATTTGTTGAGCGTCCATTCATACGAATGGGTTTTATCTTCTTTGCTAGATGCTTGGCGAACCGACTTGAAAGCTGAACAACCCTACTGGACGCAGATACCGAAATTTGACTTCCGAATATTATATCAAGAAGCTACCAACCATTATGTTCACATAAGTGATCGTACTATTGATAATAGTGGAGCACGAGTATGTTGCAACTTTAGTTTATTTCTCATATCCTGTTTGTTCCAGACATTGGTGTATCATTTAACATGCAGAATGCTGAACGGTGCAAATCCCATTGAGACTATGACAAGTGTCTCTCGCATAGCGTAGGTTATCTCATTTCGTTCGTTCTCACTTCTTGCATTTCAGAAAACATTTAATATCAGTTGCATCTGGCAATGCCGGACTAGTAAGTCGAGCTGACCAACCAGATCCCTTCCATTTGCATGTACTGACAAAGTTACATGCAAATCTCGGAAAACGTAGTGAACTATTGAAGTAAAAAAAATTTATAAACGTTCCCGTTTTCTGATTTCACAAGCATCTCTAGTCTCAACAAAAATCATTCAATTCAGGTATTTTCGTTACAATTGCAACGGTTCACTGTAGATAATCTTCTTGTTTTATAATTTTTATATTTGATATAATATTTGTTTTGCTTTGTTATGGCAGCGATATCCCTGCGCCTGGCGCGCCGATCGCTATAAACGTTGTTTTACCATAGATTATACTGAAGCAATAGATTGTTTCTGAAGTCCATCAGGTTCCAATTGCTGTAAAATGCGTTGTGTCAACTCATATCATTTCCTACTTTTGCTCATTGTTTCATTTGTTGTTTTTTCTTTCCATTTCGAAAGATTCATAATAAGATATTTAAAAAAAATTGTGTTATTGTCAGAGAGAGAGAGAGAGAGAGAGAGAGAGAGAGAGAGAGAGAGAGAGAGAGAGAGA